GGGGGGACTGCTGCAGCAAATGCCAGCAGCGGGTGTGATGACAGCAAATGGACGAGTAGGTGCAGGTGTGGGAGGAGGAGGAGGAGGGAACGGATCACGTGGTGCAGAAAACGGACTACTTGGTGCAGAAAACGGACCAGGTGCATCTGAACCGTCCAGTCCGATATCTCCGCGGGAAGCGGACGAAGGACAGCCGTTGGTGAGGCACACGAGTTCCACTGCCAGTAGGGGAGGAGGAATGGATGGAGGCGGATTACGTGACCAGGTTCATTCCGGCTTGGAGAGAGAGAGGGAGAGGGTGGGTGGTGTTACCAGGACCACCATGGGGATGATGACCAGGGAGGAAGAAGACGACATGATGGTCGACCATCATCATCATCATCACCATCAATCCGAACGAAGGTTGAGCTGCCATAGCCATGGAGATGGAGATAATGACGACGAAGAGGAGCAGTTTGGCTTGCCTGATGCCATCAAACTGGGTCTCGGCGACTTCATCTTCTACAGTGTATTGGTTGGTAGGGCAGCCATGTATGACTTGATGACCGTGTATGCCTGCTACTTAGCGATTATGGCAGGATTAGGGGCGACGTTGGTATTGCTCGCTGTGTACCGAAAAGCCCTACCCGCTCTACCATTCTCCATCGCCCTCGGAGTCATGTTCTACTTCCTAACGAGATTAGTTATGGACCCGTTCGTCGTCGGACTGGCGACGAGACTGCTATTCTTCTAATAATGCTTCTTGTGAAAAAAAAAAAGGAGAGAAAAAGTGCAAGAAGTGTTTCGAGTTTGTAATTAAAAAAAGTTTTTTTTTTTTTTTTTTTTTTTGGGTGTTTTTGGAATAGAATTCCTTTTTTTTTTTTTTCCTAAATAGAATTCTTTTTTTTCTGATAATTCTTGGAGGATTGATCATGATGATCATCATGGTGAAGATGATGATGAATCGTGATACGATTTTTTTTTTTTTTTTTTTTTTGATTTCTTCCGTAAGTGGGTCACCATATTTTTTTGAATTTTGTTTTTGATTTCGTCCTTAAGTGGGTCACCATACGACAGAAGCTAAAAAAAAAAAGGTTAGGAAGTTCTAAGAGAGTGAATAGTTCTTGTTGTTCGGATAATTCTCCTGATAGTTCCCCGAAGAATGACGATTATGATGATGATGATTATTATTATGATTATGATGATGATGATGATGATGAGGATGATCATTATGATGATGATTATGATTATGATGATGATGATGATGATGATGATGATGATAGCCTATGGAGAAGGAAGAGCAGTTGGAGTGGGCACACTGTTGTATTGGTGCCCTGGAGGGAGAGGAAGGATGGATATAGACCCTAAAAAAAAAAAAAAATTCAGCTTTTTGACTTGTAATGTTTGACTTGTTTTTTAATTTGTAATTTTATTTTAAGTTTTCTTTTTTTGGGCTGAGCCTCTGAAGAAATTTGTACCCAGCTGATAATAGCCTTTGGGGTAGCTGACTGAGTACCCTAACTGAGGGATGGATAGTGCTTTTTTTTTTGTGCGTGTGTGTGTGGGTGGTATATTTATTTATTTATATTATTTTATTATAATAATAATTCAATAATAATCTAGGCTAGCAGAGTGGCCCGGGGTCACTTGCCCGGCCGGGCCAAAAAAATAAAAATAAAATATTTCTATATATTTTTTATTTTTAATTCAGTACAGAATTTCGATGTGGCCCTGAGGCAAAAGTTGTTCGATTTATTTTTCTGCATAACATAGTTTTTTTTGGGAGTTCTCCTAGGCTACCAGCCGGGCCGCCCGGGTCCCGGGTGGCCAGCCCGTGCAAGGATTGGGGAAGGTCCCAG